GATCTCCCAATTTTTCTTTGATTTTGACGTGCCATGTGCAAAATAAAGTGACAGGTATCCATATGATACAAGCATACTGTGTAGTTACGTATTATCGGTTGTAGATTCTAGATTTCGATCGTAAATTAGGATATTTAGTTGAGATAGCTTGGAAACAGTAATTTTCTAATTGATCTCCTAATTTTTCTTCGATTTTGACGTGCCATGTGCAAAATAAAGTGACAGGTATCCATATGATACAAGCATACTGTGTAGTTACCTATTATCGGTTGTAGATTCCAAATTTCGATCGTAAATTAGGATATTTAGTTGAGATAGCTTGGAAACAGTAATTTTCTAATTGATCTCCTAATTTTTCTTCGATTTTGATATGCCGTGTGCGAAATAAAGTGACAAGTGTCCATATGGTATTACGATACTGCGTAGTTATATATTATCGATTGTAGATTGTAGATTTCGATTGTCAATTGCAATATTTAGTTGACATAACTTAGAAAAGGCAGCTTTTTAATAGTTTATCCAATTCTTCTTCGATTTTGACGTGTCATGTGCAAAATAAAGTAACAGGTACAAAAATACTACGTAGTTACCTAATATCGATTCTAAATTCTAAATTTCGACTGTCATTTGCAATATTTAGTTGATATAACTTAGAAAAGGCAGTTTTTTAATAGTCCTCTCAATTTTTTTTTCGGTTTTGACGTATCATGCGCGAAATAGAGTGGTGCGAATACATTCGCAAAATGAAACTGCGTAGTTTCCCAATATCCATTGTTTTTTTTAATTTACCTTTTCTAAAATGTATTTTTTCTGGGTGATCCGTGAGAAAACTGGAGAGAAACGAGCCATCAGTCCGATTTGACAAATCGCGACGCGTATTTATCCGAGGATTTAGCGATTTACCTGCAGCTTTTAACGACCAGTGAATTTGGAATGGTTCGAGTTCCCTTTGTTTCCAGCAGATTCTCCCTTTGTTTTCGAGTATCCTTGGACTGCATTTTAATTGGACTCGGATATTCCTTTGTATCTTCATCCCTTAAATGCTTCTGTTCTTTTCGGGGATAGATCTGTTTTCCTCTCGCGTTCAAGGTGTTTGGGCTCCTCCCATTTCCTCCTCTGTGTATATTTGTCTCTTCTGCCTTCGTTATTTCTTCAACGAGACCTTCAAAATCCTCTTTCATAGCAAGATGTATCGTATCAATTGAATCTGTGTAGCAAAATATATCGAAACGATCAGATTCCTATATATTTCGATTTCTTCGTGTAACAAATATCTTCATATCTTTCGTAACGTTAACTTTGTGATATTTCCCTTTTACTATCACTTACAAAATGGTGACTCTTCATTTTGATGTCAATAAAAAGCTTGCTTAATATAATTTACACATTTTCGTTGATAAAAATCTTCAAACTTTTGCTGAGAAAAATAATAATCACTTGAAATCGATGATGAGAAGAGATTTATTAAATTTAAGGATGTGGGGTCTGAATATTTACCTTCGATATTTTTAATGCAGCGAATAAATTATTGCAAAGTTGGAAGAAGAAGGTTGGAAGATTTTTCTGTTAGCATGTTAGTTTTGAAATTAATAGAGAATAAAAATGGCTAAATATTTAAATACATATATATGGCTTCTAGGATATCACATGTGACCCATAAACAGCTGAACTAAATATACAAAACAGAGGCAGTAAACTCTTACCCTTTACAACACAATTAACTGATAAAACCTAGATTAGATTAGATTGGAGTTGGTAAAATTTCCAATTTTTAGATATTGCCGTGTGTCAACGTCACTCGTATCAGTATCTCGTAGAAGCTCGCTAGAAGTACACACCGAAAGATTCATTTCGAATTATCGATACGTCACGTGAGTATAATTAATTTTCCAATATTTCGATATCCCATTCTCAACCTACCAGTCTGTCGATTAACGCGAAAAACGAAAAGACGATTAATCAATGTTCTCAGTGACAAACTATTCTCCAACTGTCACGTGTTACACGAATTTTTCCATATTTTCCATATTTTCCATTTGCAGTCGAATATTATTTTTAATCGAATCTTAAAGAGAGAAGTTCGTTATCCTAACAACAATTATGTACCATGTATCGAGGAATCATCCCTCTTTCTCTTCACTTCTATGAATTTTACGTTAAATTTGTTATATCTCAGTGTCGCGAGTGGTTGCAGAGAAAAGAGGGGATGGAAACGAGATGACTATTTTTTAATATTTTCTGTCGGTAATTGAAAAATTTCTGATTGAATCCTGAGGGAAGAAGCGACAGGAAATGGGTATCGTGATAAGAACGCGATGACTATCGATTATCATGATTAAATTAATATCAATTTAATGATCATCCCTCGGTCTTTTAGGTTTCCGCGAATCCTACATCGAATTCGCCATTCGATGTCGCGAGAGGCCTCAGAAGAAAGGAAAATGCGAAAAAGATCACATTTTCCCATATTTTCCATCGGTAATGAGACACTCTGCGATCGAATCGTAGAAATAAAAATAATATTGCGAAAACAAACATTTATTATCGACATGTTAATATTTATTTCACGATCATCCCTCGATCTTTTCGTTTCCGCGAATCCTCCATCGAATTCGCCATTCGATGTCACGAGAGGTCTCAGAAGAAAGGAAAAAGCAAAAGAGATCCCATTTTCCCATATTTTCCATCGGTAATGAGACACTCTGCGATCGAATCGCAGAAATAAAAATAATACCACGAGAACACTTATTATCGACAAGTTAATATTTATTTCACGATCGTTCTCTTCCCTGATGGGGTATCAAATTCAGCATGTAATACCACGCGAAACCGCAGAAGAAAAGAAAGGAGAACGGAAAAAGAATCGCGTTTCTCTATGCTATCCATCGATAATTGAATATTTTCCTGATCGAATGGTAAAAATAGAATGGGGTATCACGGTAATAACCGATATCGATTGCCACTGTTAAATTAATATCTATCCACGATCATCCCTCTGCTTCCGCGAGTTTCGTGCGAAAATTCTCTTAGAAATTCTTCTTAATCGAATCGCGCAAAGAGAACGAGCATCGCGATATCGATTACCGCGATTCGATTTAACATCTGCTCCATCGATCTTTACTCTCCTCGCTGCCGCGAATCTCATTTGGAATTCGTGGCGAAACACCGCGAGAGACCGCAGACGAAAGGCAAGAGGGTTGGATAAAGGAGCGACACAAAAGTCGGCGCACGTTAGGTCACAAAGAAAAAGAGCGATACCGGAATCTCTCTGTTCCTTGCGTTTCCTTTTCATTCAACCCTCTCGTTCGCCTCGCGATATTAATTTCACCGGAACTTTCACTTCCGCCTGCGGCTTTTCAATCCTAGAACGCGTCTGCTCGTTAAATAAAACGCGGTAACCTTAGCACGTGAGCAAAGCACGAGATAATTAATTTCCCGGCACGAGAACGCCGGTCCCCCTTGAATATTAATTCCTGCTCATGTGACTCGCGAATGAAGATAATGGTAAAAAGCAGAAATAGACGAATCTGCCGATTATTCTTCCTGCAAATTCTCTCTGAAAATCCGTATACCCGTATCACCCCATAGAAACGCGTCTCACGCCATGGAAACACGTTTACAAATCGGTGCCCATGGCGAACGAATAAACAACGGTTGTTTCTTATTTTATCGCAATTTACTCCGGAAGAATGCTGCTGTCTCGATCCCCGGATGCTGTGCTGTCTCGTCGAGAGAAATTCGAGGAGAAATATTTGAGCAAGCGCGTCCGTCGTGTTTCACGCCATAAAATGGAAGTTAGGAGGAGAATCGGATGGGTGTTACGCGTTGCAGCATCGACTCGCGATACAGGGGTGAGAAAGGGGTTGCAAGGGGGTACTAGAGGGGATGGAAAATCTTGCCAGAGGGTGAAAAGGCTCGCGGTCACTGGGTTTCTCGAGCTCTTCCGCTTTTAACGTCTGATTTCCTCGCTTAGGGGCGGAAAACGCGAGACGTCGCGGCCATTGTCCGACCATTCCAAGAATATCCGGTGGAACTTGCCGAGATTCGGATATTCTTCTCGTCACTCTTATCTCGAGTCTCCTTGTAAATTTGTGTCAAATTTTTGGATACCCTCGTAAATTTCTTCCAGCTTAAACGCGTCTTTCGATATCTCCTCGTTTTCGTGTCTTCTGTGATTTATGAAATTATTTTTCCTCAACTCAGAAGGATATTTCTGTACCTCGAAATTTGCATACCTCGAAGGTGTATCTTCTCTTTACGATTTTTACGCATTTTATGGCTATATTTTTAGCAAGGGAATCGGGGGGTCGTAAGGGGATCAAATATTTGCTCGCGGAATTCGCTCGTGCACGCCGAGTAAAAAATTATTTCGCATTTATCGCGGTGTCAGAGAAGAATACTCCGGATTTTTTCCATTTTTGTAATTCGTCATCGTGACATCGGGGGAACGGTTCGAAGCTGGAAAGCATCCGGATCAATGGGAATCTCGTTTCATCCTTCCCTTAGAGCGTTTTTCAGTAATCCCTTTAACCTTACGTCATCTCGGATAGATTGATGAGTCGTTCGCAAAGGTTCGGATAAAAAATTGCTTTCCGTTCGGTTTAATTGCCCCGTTGTTGTCCATTACTTGCAACCGGTTGCAAATTCGTTAAAAATCCCCCGCGGACAAAGGGTACTCCCATAAACGAAATTCCATTCAATATTTCATTTGTAACCTTTATGACTATCCCCTTTCTGTCGTATATCGTTTCAAAGCGATGGTGGCCTGGTGGAAAAATCGTGAAAAATATTCGAATCAAGTGGAATTCCGTGCCACGTGCTATTTCAAAATTTTACAATTATTTAATCATCGTTATGCCGTATTAAAACCATCAATTCCGATTATGCAATTGTCAAACGTTAATTATATGGATAATATTAGATATGGATATTATAGTGGATAATATTAATATAAAGTAGCAATTGTAGAGAAAAATTACAGAATTTTTACAAGTTTACAGGTGAGGAAAAATGAGCGAGGGACAGCCGAGGTACAAATTGATCTACTTTAACTCCCGTGGTCGTGCCGAGCATATCCGCTACATATTTGCATACGCTGGCATCGACTATGTCGACGAGAGGATCCCTAAAGAACGATGGCCTGAATTGAAGAAATGTAAGTGCACGGAATCGATATTTTCCCTTCATCGTTCGACTCTACGATTCTATTTCGTCGAGCTTAGTCCAACTTTCGCTGCTACAACGCTTCTCTTTCACGCGAAGATCCGAATTACGTATTTAAAGTGGTATTTCGCATATAATACACCCTTCTTTTGTATCAATGACCACTCGCGAGTCTACGATTCGACGAGAATATTTTCAAAAATCGTATAGACACTGAATCAAAATTTATCGTCACAGTAGTATATAATCGAATATTATTCAATTTTGTCGGATTTTTTACTTTCTTGTCACCCGGTAGATTGAAGAGGAAAATATAACATAGTCAGAAACGGGAACAACCTGTTAGATCGGAAACTTAATACTACCAAGACTTATACGAAAGTAGAGATATAATTAGCAAGTTTTCGAAATATTCAAAAATCTTTTGTACCCAAGAAATATTCTCTTTTTAATCCTAAAATCGAAGAAGATAATACTCGTAAGGTTTATGCAGAGTTTGTTGAAAATTATTAAAATGTCTGTGAGATGAGGAAAATTTTATTTGTCGTGTTTTCCTCGTAAAGCTTTTAATCACAAAGAAGTGCAATGGTAAATTGCATCGGATAACGCGAGATCGACTCGTTTATGAATCAATCAGACCGTTGAAAAATAAAGAACCTGCGTTTTACCGGATTATAACACTGGCCGAGAGTAATAACAGTTAATCAACTCGGTTCTCCGAATCGATTCTGTAAATGTGAGACACAGGAATTGGTTTTCACGTTTGCGAGATGTATTCATCGAGTCTTTCATTTTAATTCAAGATCGTCGTAACGTGTAGTTTTCAGTATTTCTTCCGCGTCTCGCATCGTGCGACGAGAATTCTCTATTCGCAGTCATAAATCCAGTCGTTGATGCGTAGACAGCACTGGGCCCGTAGAGTCTACGTAAAAAGAAAATTAATCGCGTATTTATAAAATTAAACAATATAATTCAAATTTACTTCGATTTTTCGCAAAGACAAAACAATTTTTAAACCCATTTATACCTATCAATTGACTTTCTATTCCTCTTAAAAGCAACTATGACACCCCGAAACACGTGGGTCATCCCTTAAACGCGAAAATTTTAATTAAATTTGAAAATTAATAGAAAGAAAAATTCCGAATATATGAAATAAATTACCTCGACTAAATATCTGAAAGTTTCTAAAAATTTTCTAAACATTTTTTGAAAAGGGTTCTCAATGAATATCCACAAAGAAAAGTCTACGTTATAGAAATGAGTAAAGGTATTTTCAAGTAGCTCTTAGAAGCAACTATGAGACCCCGAAACACGTGGGTCATCCCTTAAACGCGAAAATTTTAATTAAATTTGGATCTGAATAGAAAGAAAAATTCCGAATATATGAAATAAATTACCTCGACTAAATATCTGAAAGTTTCTAAAAATTTTCTAAAAATTTTTTAAAAAGGGTTCTCAATGAATATCCACAAAGAAAAGTCTACGTTACAGGAACGAGGAAAGGTATTTTCAGGTAGCTCGAGACCACCATTGAAATTTGTAGAAAATGCGAAAGATGCGTTTCTCCATCCGCGGGGATGGTGAAAAGGAAGAGACATGTCTGTGTTTCGTTACTAGGCCGCGTTGATTAAAACCCGAGCGATTTTCGCCCGCTATTCACGGGAACGCAACGCCCTCGAAAGCCGTGTGCGATTTCCTATCGACCGTTCCTCCTCTGCACACCGTTCATACGAACTATGTTTGTTCTTAGCAATGCCTTATGGAATGCTGCCTGTGCTGGAGATAGACGGGAAACCGATAGCGCAGAGCAACGCGGTGGCGAGATACTTGGCGAGGAAGCACAATCTAACCGGAAGAGACGAATGGGAGGCGATGATGTGCGACGTGCTCGTCGATACTCTTGGAGATTTGAAGCAAAGTGAGTAGCTAACAGGATGACTTTCCGTTTGTTCCACAGAGACCAGAATTCATTGGCGAGCAGACGATTTTAGATAAGATACGCGAGATAGGTTCTTCGCTGCCACTTTGCTTTGTAGGTTTCAACTAGTGTTTCACTAGTATTCCCCTAGCGTTCGAGATCGCGTCGTGATACGTACGGATGTATAGAAACGGAGGATAGAAGAGATTCATAGAAGTACAGTGCGTTCGTGAAAAGAAGGCACAGCGAGTTTACATCCTTATGGCTGATTAACTCCACTGACACTGTCATCGTCACAGACAGTGACTGCCATTGATCGAAGATGTTGAGGAAGATCATCGGTCACCGTTTTCTGTGATCAAGGGAGAATCAGCGGAGTTAATTAATCGCGACGCTGTGCCTTCTTTCCTCGAACGCACAATAGAACTTTCTTAGCACCAGAACTGGCAATTAGGAACTGAACCAGTAGGACCGTGGTGCTTAGGTTAACGAAATCAAATTAATATCGTCGACTGGACAATTTTAAATAATATAGATAAGGCCTAGTGAGTAGAGATTCGAAAATTTCGGGATTTTTGGGATTTCATAATGGATCGGGTGCCATATTGGTCACTCGTGACTGGAGCTTACGTTCTCAGTAGGGCCACGATGCTCAGGTTAACGAAATCAAATTAATATCGTCGACTGGACAATTTTGAATAATATAAATATATAGACGATATCGTGAATTATGCGACCATAGCCTAAATTGCGCAATACTTCGGTGAATTTCGCAGTTACAGTTAATAAATACGAAGAATTTTATTCATTCGTGCCGAGTAAACAAACTTTTTAGATTTTTCGTGCGTTTAGCATCTTACGCATTTCGAGACTAGAGGATTTTATCATAAATAAAATGAACCAGTTAAAATGACTTGTATTTTCATACGGCTCGAAACGGGATTATACGTAATCTATTTATCTTCGAGATATCGCTACAGTTATTATCATTTACGGATAATACGTTTAGCAAGTCACTGCAAAGTGGCTCCGGGATTAGTACCGGATTACTCATAGTGAACAGTCGATGTGTTACGTGTCTATTATTTTTGATAACGTGTATCAAACGTAAGCGTGTTCTCTTGATATTCTCCTTTTGGATTTCTCATTCAAAATTAACCAAAATTGGGATTATGTGTTTTAATTGTAAAATAACTACGATATATATATTCTCTATTAAAGTCTTTTATTACTCAAGGAAGATATATGTTCCTTTGAGTGCTTTTCTATAGAGACTGGGACCGATTTGAGAGAGAGTGTCAAGAGGGTTCGTGACGCGGTTCGCCTAAACGCCCAATCCTTATCGAATGTTTATATAAACATTCGTTCTCGGAATTTAAATCTCACAAACTATTTATTCATACCTCATATCCTAGATTGATTTTTGTATACAACTAAACTTATCTTTTCAATATTAACAATATAACAAATGATATCTTTCTCTCTCTTCAAATTCAGTTTTTGAAACTGAACTTTTAGAATTCAGAAATTCGTATTGTAGATTTTACACTCGACGATTTTTTGGCTAGAGAAGAGTAGAAATTCAAAGATTCTCTACTAAAAAACTGACGATACTTTTTTGAGCAGTAAATAAAGAATTGTAGAATTATTTGATTTCGATATCTCGCATTCCAAATTTTATGAAATGGTGACTGAAGCTCCCCTCTCGAGTGCAAAGGGTTAATAAAGTGGCGTTTTGCTGCTAGGTAACTGTTTTATTTTCGCTATATTCTGGTAGGCGACTGCGTGAAAAATTCATCCCTTGCTGCTTTATAGGGTGTGTTGCCTCCTCCGTGGCCTCGTCTTCGTGTGTCGGTAGCCTCTTCGCTTGAACTCCGGTTCAGACACCTCAGCTTAGCATCTAAACATCCCCATCTATGGTTGTTGTCTTTGGACCTGAGCGATGTCTTCCTAAAACTGCAACGAAAGGCTTTCTCCCGCCGAAAGACAATGAGCAGCGGTGAAAGTTGCCCACAATATGATTGTGGTAGATTAGTGTACAACGGTGTTAACTCGTAATTAGTACTCGATGTGCCAAATGGCGTTTCGCTGGTTGTTCGAAACATAAGTGGTTTCACGAAGGATCTTCCCGAGAGTCTCCTTATTGTACTCATCGATGAAGTAGGTCTCTGGTAATTATTTTATTTCTTCCGAGATAATGGGACAATCTTATCTGAAATGACTCGTAAAAGTCTTATACGAGACCGTAAAAACCGAGTGGGGTAGTATCAGTTTCTTAGATATCGATAATAGAGCGAAAAACAAACAACTGTTGCACGATTTTGCGAAATTCCTCGGTGATTTCGCGTGTTCGAGGAAAAGTGTTAACTACCGAGGGAAAACGGGTCGATAATATAAATTATTAGCGTGTCGAAGTTTGAAGCTTCCTGAATTTTGTGCAGGGATTTTGCACGTAAAAGTTAAATAGTTCTCTATCCAGCGGGTTAAATCGAGTTCGTAAATTCACACTTCATACTTCGAAATGGATAGAGCTGCTGTGAAGTTTCCGGATAATGATAAAATCTCTCGAAACCAATCATCCATCGTACAAGGCCTCGTGCATTCTATTCTTCGGAATATTCTCTTGTTAAATTAATTACGAAATAATTATATCAACATCTACCAATCTTTTTTCTTCAAAGAATAAAATTATTAAAAAATTATCAAAAGTTTCTTCGATTACTTAGACAACAAGAGTGTCAACCTCTATCAGGATTGTGGGTAAAAAGAGATAACTATCGTTCTCTATAATTATCTTTAGTCTATTCTTAGGAAGGTATATCTTCTGTATTCTACCTGTACGCAGAGAAAGGCTAAACTAGAACGATGAAAAAAGGTATGCAATTTCACCTCGTCCTGATTTCATATATAGTATCAAGCACGAATTTCTTATTATTCAAAAGATAAGTTTGGTTATGTGCAATAATCAATCCCGAATATACGGCGTGAATAAATAGCTAGACTTAATAAACAGAAATAAATAGCAAGACTTGGATTTCGAGGACGAATATTTATAGAAACGTTAGATAAGAATTGGGGATTTAGGCGAACTGCATCCCGTACCCTCTTGACCCTCTCTTGCTAGTCGGTCACTCGCTATAGAGAAACACTCTAGAGAGAAGGATATAACTTCCTTGAGTAATAAAAGTAATAAAAGAATTGAAAAGAGAATTATATATATCCTAGTTATTTCGCAATTATAAACCCATAATTCCAATACTTATTTCTATTTGCTTCTTTACTTATTCTATCAAAGGGTGAATTTTCCTATCTTTGCACAACGAAAATTTACAGAACAGAATATTGGGATTGTGGGTAAAAAGAAATAACTATCGTCCTTTATAATTATCTTTATTCTATTCTTAGGAAGGTATATCTTCTGTGTTCTACCTGTACGCAGGGAGAGATAAAACTAGAGCAATGAGAAAGGGTATGCAATTGCAGCTCGTTCTAGTCCCCTAATTCCTATCTACATCACAAAATAAACACTTCGATGCATAGTTCAAATATATATCTATTTCTCCTAAGAGACTGATTTTTGTATATATCTTGATGTTAAAGGGGTTATTACGCAAGGAATAGTAGTCAGTGAAAAACTGTGAAAAACTGTGTAGATCTTTATTGAACGGGCGAATGGTTAGAACTGAACTGTTCAGGGTCTCGCAGGTCAAAAGTCGTCTTCAGAAGACTGGTGACAAAAGACGATTGGTGACAAAAGACAGAACATTGAGGGAAGGGATCGCCCCCACACCGCTGGAATGTAGAATTTGTTTCACTATTGAATTTTACCATGACACTTGAAAATAAGACGTATCTTATTTTCAACTACCTCTGTTACCAAGTATTCCAATGCAGTGCAGTAATCGTGGCTATGGAAATTTCTTTTCTGTGGATGCTACAATTATGAACAACCTCTTCATACGACCACTTAATCCAGTTTATCTGCCGCAGCAATCTCCATGCACGATTCATTTGCAGGATGATTTGCACCGGTAACACGACAGGACCCCGTTCCTCTCAACGTCTCTCGGCTTCTGCTCCTCGTCAAAGCACTCCCTCGATAAACGCTTGCTATCCGCGGAAGGAGCGAAAACAACAAAGTCTTGCTCAATGATCGAGCACGGGAAGATCCTGCTACGCGATAACGTTACTAATTTCCAATTACGATATGCGTGATTGCGAAACATCGGCCATTTGCATAATGCGTTAACGATCCGCGCGTAGATCGCATAAATTGAAAGGAACGGAATCACTCGAAACTCATGCAACTGTGTGCGCAGGTGTAGTTTCGTTCTTTGACGCCAGCAGCTTAATATCGGTCGAACTGTGAAAAATCGCGGAGGCAAAAGAATTTTGTATAAATCGAAGGGAACTGCTACGTACCATCGCGGAGGCAAAAGAATTTTGTAGGAACCAAAGGGAACTGCTACGTACCATCGTGGAGGCAAAAGAATTTTATATAAATCGAAGGGAACTGCTACGTACCATCGCGGAGGCAAAAGAATTTTGTAGGAACCAAATGGAACTGCTACGTACCATCGTGGAGGCAAAAGAATTTTATAAAAATCGTAGGGAACTGCTACGTACCATCGCGGAGGCAAAAGAATTTTGTAGGAATCGAAGGGAATTGCTACGTACCATCGCGGAGGCAAAAGAATTTTATAAGAATCGAAGGGAACTGCTACGTACCATCGCGTAACAGCGTGATCCTTCCTCAGCTTCCCATTTTTCCCTTCTCTTCGCGGTGTATTGGTGGAAAATAATCGCGTCGATATCGTTTCGCGATTAAAACTCCATCCACCAGTGCAAATCGCGCAGGTGTATTCCGTATTCCTTTTTCTTCTTTCCGTGTTTACGTTCCTCGATCGGCTTCGTGCCGTCGATGGTTCGCGATTCGATGCACCTGAACAGCTGGAACATCGCAGATTTTTCTACGCGATAATGAGCGTGTTCCCGATGGCCTGCTTTAAACCGTGTCGATTGCCATAACGATCATCGGCTAGCGAACGTCGTTGTAACGCCTACGCGAGTCCTATTCCTATTTTCCTTATTTTATCTCTAGTACGTCGCTGCATAACTGCGAGATATATGTCGGAAATTCTCAGAGACTGCGAAGCATTCGCGAATACTTGGAATATGTTAATAATTATTGAGCAAGAGACCAGATACGAAACAGCGAGGCGTCTCTGGATATTCAACGATGAAACGCTTCTGCCATAATCTCGTCATGATCCTCCCAAAATTGTTTACTCGAATTTACTTTATTGACTCTGATTCCACTTGTGATCTCGGAATCTTGATATCCCTGAGCGAATTTCACCGACTATAAATTCAACGAGAAATAGTATAAAAATGGGAGGAAGAATTAGGTAATTTCTTTTTCTACCAATCGTAATAAGCGACGTTGGTCACCCGAAAGGTTCGCCAAGTTTCTGGGAAACTTATCACGGCGGTAACGAAACGTTATGGCTGAAATAGCATAAGCTATGGAACCGAGTTGGAGGAAAGTAGAAAAGGGCGAAAAGGAAGAAGGAATCGTGGAAACCACGAGAGACGTGGACACGTTTCTTTTTTCGCAACTTATTGCTTCATCTTTTTCTCTTCCTGCTAGCAAGAGACAAATGAACGCTACAGTTGCCGTCTCATATGCGTTCCAGTTATATCCCAGTACCGCACCGAGGAGGACCTCTTCAAGAAAGAGGAGAAGAAGGCGAAACTTCTGAAAGAAACGATACCATTTTACTTGAACAAGTTCGAGCAGACTGTCGGTGAGAATGGAAGTTACACCGTTGGATCCACGGTGAGTCGTTGCCAGTCGCTGTGAATCGTTGTTCCGCCGGGTTTAATATTAAGATCTTTATCGTTTGCGCAAAAAATTCCGGAGACGAGAAATATCTATGTCAAGTTATTAATACAACATTCTTGGAAAACTTCGTAGTGACGAAAGTAACTTTAACTCGTGGAAAAAGCGTGTATATTTTTAAATGCACAGGCATCTTGCTATTTATCTCTTCAAACACTTCTTAAATGAATTTATTAGAATCCTGATTCCCTCGATAATTCTTCTCGATAATTTCTTCAGCTCAAAGCTTAAAGTTTGCGTTGCAAACGAAATCAAAATTCAGATCCATGAAATCGACGAATAAAAGAATTCTGGCTCGTTACTTCTAAAATATCACGTTATAAATATATTCCAATTTTCCCCAATTTTTAAACATTTTTGCAGCTTTGAAATAGCGTATTGAAAATGTTTTCAAGAAGTAATAACTTATCTTTCGATTGTGTTTTAGACAACGTGGGCGGATTTCGTTTTCGCAGTGGCCCTTGAAAACTTCGAGAATATTTTTGGCGCAACAGCTTTAGAGAATTATCCAAGTCTGCGAGCGTTGAAGAAAAGGGTTCACGAGATACCCGCCATCGTTGCTTGGCTGGCTAAACGACCACACACGGAATTTTAAGAATTTCAAAATTACGCGCCATGAAAGGAGAACTAATACATATCCTTACTCTCTGTGCACGCTTGGTCAAGTATCGTTGTGTTGGTCAGCGTTCCGAGTTACAGATGTAGAATGTAACGATTTCGTTGAGAAAATGATAATCTGTAAGCGAGTTGAAAGTTAAACAGTAGAATGTCACAGTTTTTCTTCCTTTGTAACAAGTATTACGTGTTTTAAAGGACTCGATATAGTAAATGTGCGTTTACAATGTAGAGAATCTCGAGATAAAATGGCGCCATTTTCCATAATTTAATCTTCGAAGATTGACATTTGAAAAAGTAACGTGTTTTTCTTAACGACTTGTACATAAGTTGTAAATAATGTACACAGTTACATCCTGTTCTTCGTTTATTCGAACAACTTCCGTTCCATTGGTATTTCGATTTATTTAATATCGTCATCGAATATGAATTTACTAGATTGTGCAGTGTTAGTGTCGAGACAAAATATGGCTTTTCGTTTAAAAATAATATAAAACCAAGAAAAATGATTGGAAATAGATAAAACGGTTATATCATCGTTCGTATCGAAGTACGAGAAAAATAATGAAAAATAATTATTTACAATTATTTGTAGATAAATGTTAAGTGATGCTTATCTCGAGACACT